TTCTGGCACAGTTACCGGTGCCTAACGGAAAGCTACTGGGAGCTTGTTGATCATGTGGCTGCTGTGGCAGCCAATCATGGCGGTCACATGATCATAAACCCTGCCCCACCATCGGCATCAGAAACCCCTTGAAGGGCCTGGGAGGCATTGGCATTAAAGGGTTAATAATAAATATTACAAAAATGGATAAAGTGGGCTTGCTAGACTGAAGGCTAATTTATGGTGGGGAAGGGATAACAAAGGATTTTCTCCTGATTGTAGAAGAAGATGATCTTTGATGATGGATCTTTGATGACTGTTTTCTCTTGATTGTACCTGATTGTACAACATGCTTGGAATAATCTGTACTTTTGTATGAAAGACAACCTTGTGAATGGAGATTTTCTGTGCTGAGGAATTATGAGTGGAATTATATATAGGAGCATATTTTTATAAATTTACTATTGGAATATTTTATAGTGCCCCAAATATTAGTAAGAATGTAGAGAAAAAGGGCTGCACAGGTTGCCATTGCATCCACTGTAACTATAACCTTAAAACCCATGTGGATTATTTAAATTGCTAAAATAAATCAAAGATAAAGAAAGCGAATTAAAAATATAAATGTGGAGGAGTGCTTTCAATATTTGAAGCTGCAACAAATAAAAAGAAAAATGTAAATACTGTAGGAATGAGAGTGGCAGAAATTCAGAATGCAAGGGAGGTTGCTAAACAGAGTAAGACAGATCCTCCAAAAATGCTTTAACTGTATTAATAGCAAAAACAATAGAAGATCTGATCTAAGTATATACTGTAGGCCCCTAAAAAGCCAGACCACAAAGTTCATTATAATGGCTATAAAGAAGATAGTGTTGTGTAAACAATGTAACACTGTGGCGCTGACATATGATACACAGACAGTAATTCTGTTTTACATGGTCTTACTTCGGCTTAACTTTGATACTGTTCTGAATAATTTAGTCAAAATAATTATGAAGAAAGCACCTGGGGCGAATGGTTTACACCCAGGAAACCGCAATAAGATAAGCTCAGTTATTTCTAAGCCATTGTTTCTAATTATTTTTAATATACAATAACCTTCAGTGGCTGGGTAGGTACCAATGATTACAGGAAATACAGCCTACCTGTTCAGGACTACAGGATTTTATCTAGACACTGCTGCAGTACAGTCCATCCCAATGCTTTTAAACAGTAATATCTGTAAACAGTAATATTTGGGAACTTCTGCTTGTGTTGCAGACAAGCTTTGTCTCTCATACAGAAAGCACAATGCAAAAAATACCAATGAAAAAACATGTCACATAGCCACCGATTCAAGCCTGCCTATAAATGATCTCAGGAAGTACACTCCCAGTGAACCTGTGTGATGGTATTTGGATTCTACTATATCTGCAGTGGATAACAGGAAATGTAATGAATTCTGATATTAGCGCAGATGCAGTTAGGCATTAAAGTGGAAGAAAACTCCCACTGGACACTTGTACCTACAGGTTAGCTTATAATAAAGCTTACCCGTATGTACAAGGAATATCTTCTAAACATGCACCAAATAGGAGATATGCAGTGTCCCTGCAGCCGATGACTTTACCGGCGCATTCGATCTGAAGAAATGGCATATCCATGCTGTTCCTTCAGAGTTCTGTGTTGCAGCCAAGACTCCCATGTGCAACCGCGGTAGTAACATCATCGCGGTTTGGTCAATCACGTGGCCAGAGCCTGTGAACATGGAAGGAAGACCAGGTGAAGATGGAAGCCCTGTCAGCGTGACAGCGTGCCACTGGAGGTTCATTTTAAGGTAAGTCTTTCATAATGTGTTATTATGCGATGCATACTAGCACATTATGATATTATTTTGCAGGGGATTTTCTTTTTTTTTTTTTTCTCTTTACTACTGCGTTAAGACCTTCAGTTTCTTTGTATGTGTGAAACTTTCACATAAAACGCTCCATTTGTTGCAATATTGAAAATAACCACCATGGTCAGGGTTCAAAATATACTGTACCAGGAAACCAGACATCTTGCCAACATAATACAGATCTCCATTTGACTTTTTTGAATGGCAGTGCTGCGAAGCATACTAATATATACTTTCATGCTCTTGTTCTTATAATGCCCTAGCCCCTTACTTTGCTTTTCCTGTTCTAGTCATCCTTCAGCTTCTTTTGTCTGCAAAATCTATGCGAAATCTCTCATACCTTGGGAAAGACTGCTGAAGGAGGACTAGAACTGTATGGTCCCTTTCAGATAGGGTGGACTTATCAGTGAATCTGTTTGCTCAGCTGGGGATCTTTCTGCTGATCCCTGCTGAGCAATTGGATGACAGGTCTGTGTTCACTCTGCTGCTGCTGCAGAGAGGACACGGACACAGCTCGCTGTTTTCTATGGGATGATCGGATGGAATTGGACTGCCTGTGCATTTCCACCTGACTGTAATCCTGTCCGATCGGATGCGGAATAGATGGCCATCCGTCTGTTTTAACATACAGGACCGGATCAATTAGAGAAGAGACACAGTAGCACCACTCTGAGTGTAGACGGTTAAAATCAGGCAGATTTAATGGTAAAATTGCACTCACATAGGTAGGTAACAAGTAGGCATGTCAAGTGATGGAGGTCCAGTGGGAGCATAGGGTCCTTTAGCCACACTCTGGGTGCTTTCCCGCTGCTCCAATGGTGTCCAGGGCTCCGGGAATGGCAGAGGGGCGCAGGGACTCTTTTGTCAGGCCGAGCATGCTCCAACCGTGCACCATCTTGGAAACCCGGTCCATGTGGTGACATCATCCCTGCGAGCCTCCCTGCGACCTCTGCTGCTCACCGAGCCCTGGATACCTCCGGAGTGGCAGGAAAACACCCAGAGCACAGCCAGAGGACCTGATGCTCCCACTGGACCTCCATTACTTGACCTGCCTACCTGTTACCTATCTATGTGAGTGCAATTTTACCATTAAATCTGCCTGATTTTAACCGTCTACACTTAGAGTGGTGCTGCTGTCTGTCTTCTCTACCTGCATTAGGAGTATCTACAAGCTTTTACAGCCGGCTGCCTCCTTGGACAAGTTCATACTACTACAAGCCCCCCACTACAGATGGACTTGGACACCACCTCCACATGGACCTTCTACTAACCCCCATTGCTGATGGTCCATTCACAAACGCACACAGAGAAGATGCGTCCTAGCGCTCCCCCCCCCCCACTTACCTCAGGATCGGATCAATTGCCTGCCACTCCATTGAGAGTGAATGGGCACTCTCATTCAGTTAAATGGGTCAAGTTTGTTGGCCAGTATTGCCAACAGAACATGACAGTGGAGATCATTTTTCACAATGCAAAACAGTACACAAATTCTTTCTCCTCTGCTGCCTTTGCAGCTTAAAGTGATTCTAAAGGCTTTTTTTTTTTAAATAACAAACATGTCTATACTCACCTGCTGTGTGCTGTGTATTTGCATAGAGCACCCCCAATCCTCCATTTTTTAGGTCCACCACCAGTGCTTCTGGCCTCTCCTTCCTGCATCCATTCACACACAGAGCCGCAGCTCGGACCAGCCCCCTCTCTCTCAGCCCCCTCTCTCTCTCATTGTCTGACTGGCTGTGATTGACAGCAGTGGGAGCCAATGGCTCCCACTTCTGTTTCAGCCAATAGCTCCCACATCTGTTACAGCCAAATTAGGAGTGGGTGTCCAAGGATAGCCACGACTCCAATGCACATCACTGGATCAAGAGGGGCTCTTAGGTGAGTATTTGGGGGGCTGGGGGGGGGCTGCTGCACAGAGAAGGTTTTTTAACCTTCGTGCATAGACCGCATGAAGGTAAAAAACCTTGAACCTTTAGAACCACTTTAAGGGGGAGCAGTTGTGGGAAGGTATAAACATGGCTCAATCAAGCATTTTTGCTGCACCCTACTGCAAGTGTATACTAGGTCTTAGAGTGAGTTATAGGCTTTAGAAATGAAGTTGGCAGGTTGATAAAAGAAAACAAAACAGAAGAAAAGTTTTGGGTGTACAATCTGGGCAGATCAAACACAAACTCAGGTCATTTAGACAAGAGTCAATCATATACAGTATGTAAACAATTTTAACAAGCAGTAAAGGTATATAAGCTTCTTGTTTTACCTTTTTATTGGTATCCTGCCTGGACCATTAATTTACAGTTTGTCACAAATTTGTCATAGATTTCTAAATTGTTTGTGTTTCATTCTACCTTGATTTAGAAATGTTAACCTTATGTCTTGTTAGTTTTTTTAAAGAAAAATACAATGTCCATTTATAAAGTGTGGCATACAATGAATATACTCCTGAATGGGCCGCTAGTAAGCACAGTTAAATAGAAATCATTTTGAATTAATTATACTGTATACATTTTTCACTACTGTGTTATTTTGTGTATTTCTGGTATTTTGAAAAGTATTTCAATGTATGAAGAAAGTGTTGGATTCTGTAATTAGCGCTTTCAAACATGTCAAAGTAGCTGATGTTTGAGTCCTCTGTCAAACATGTTTACAGAAAACCAGCTTTGAAAGAATGTGAATATTAGTTTGTGTTGAATTACCAAAGAAATGTTAATATTTCCTGCATTTAGCCTAACTGGCTATTATAAGGCACAAGCCTTGGCCCTGAGGTTATGATTTGAGAGGTCACCTGAAGTCTGACAACCCTGTCCTGCCAACTGTCTGACCTCCTGCTGTCTCCTGTATGAACATAACTGTATCCTATTAGTAGCCTTGTAGATAAATGATACAGTATCTAAAGCCCAAACAATTTTTTGTTTATTTTGGCTAATGTTGGGACCTTTTGCCACCTGTGTCCCATTCAAAAGATTTCCTTTCCTCTAGACACAACAAGATGGAAGAGGATATTTCTCCCAAGTGAGTTAAATCCCCTCTAGGCTCCACTTTCTTTAGCAAGTGTTTTTGGAGAGTTTGTTATGCTCGTTTGTACACAATGTTTTTGGGCATTTCAGGCTTGAGCAGGGGCGAACTGACCATTTGGAAACTCGGGCACTCGGGGTCAGTAGGGGGCCCCATGAGATGCCCCTGGTACCTTTTTCATAAGCTTTTTTGAGTTTGGGCAAGGACACAGGGGCCCCATGATCCCCTATTGCCCGGGGGCCCCATGAGTTGTCAGTCAGCCCCTGAGCTGGAGCATTTTTGTTGTAGACAATGAAAAGCTAGTCACCAGCAGAAGGAGAAGAGATCACATGTTTATTAAGGCTCCTGAATCGGGCTCAGGAGTAGCGGGGCTTCAGCAACATCCATCTCGAAACTGGAAACATCACAGGTTCATATTTGCCAGCACACCATGGATCATCAATGTTGTCCGAAAAGAAGAATTGAAGAATGATCACAGCACACAAAGAAAGGTGCAGCATTTCAGACATGTGCAGGACCCCTTCATCAGGCATGTGATGTCTAGGGACCAAAGACATGCAACTCTGCCCTAAAGAAACAAATGGACTGACAAGCTTCAAGACATGATACTCAAGTGTATATGGGCACTCAATACATGGGAATCCTCATGTTGAGCGTTACATTGCTTCTAGAGAAGCTCTGCAAGTTGCTCAGGTGTGGTCTGAGCTTTAGACAGTTATCAACAGAATAAGTGTTCCCGTTTGAGATTTTCCCCATCATTCATTCTCTGGCGACAAACTTTAGATTCTACATTGCTCTCGGTCCTGGTGACAAAAGTCATCAGGATAAATAGAATGAGTTAATCCCATAGACAGCAAATTAACCTGACAGGGTTTTCAGACTCAGAGAATAGGGTTCAATATAGAATCCAGAGCCTTATTAATTGCTCTAGGTCTAAAGTGCTTTATATGTTGACATGTCCATGTAATAAGGTTTATGTGGGGAAAATCAAGAGGCAACTTAAAATATGTATACAGGTGAACACTTTAGAGATATCAAGTCTAAAGAACCATATAGTAGTCTGGCTCAACATATTCTGAAATTCCATGGCAGCAAGCTGCAGCGTATTAAAGTGAAAGGATTCTATGCCCTTAATTTTCCATTAAGAAGAGGAGACTTTGATAGGGAATTGTTAAACGTGAAAAATATTGGATTTATAAACTGAACACTCTGCACCCCAAAGGGTTAAATGTTGAACTAGACCTCCAAGTTTTCCTGAATAATTAAACCCTTAGGGATTTTGACCGGCCCAGGATATCTTTTCCCATTGGCTATATTTGATTAATATTAGTAGTAAGTATCCCCTGTTCTTTCTTGTTTATTACAAAAGTACTAATTTACTTATCATCTTGGTTGCTTTGAAGTGTATTGATTGTTTCTGTTGACCGTTTCAATTGATTTACTAATGGGTATAATGGCAGCATAAGATTGACATGCATGGGCGAAGTCTGTCTGATATAAAAGAGTCTCTAGCTATCTCCCATTGGCCCTGACGAAGCTGAGTAAGATACGCCCATTGGCGAAACGCATTGACGTCACACGGCTTCACGCACCCAGTCCCAGTGGGGACACGGAGCACCACGCTACTTTCCAGTGCAGACCAATTACCACAGTGTACTCTCCAGGAAGCGGGGCCTTACTGTTGGAGGTGCTGATACAGCGGCTGTTTTTTTATGGACTCCACACATGGAACTTAGCATTCAAGGGAAGGTCATACAATCTCCAACTGACGGAGTAGGTGGTGAGTAGCGCACTTTACTCACACCTGGTGGATATGTTGCATCTACACAAAGGCAGGGCTCTGCCAATAAAAGTCTGAAAATGGCGGCTGCCTTACGGACTTCCTACAAGTTACTTATCACTCCAGGAACAGTGACTTTACACCTTTATATCTAGTCGGCAGGGAGCTGCACATTTCTTCTACTCTTGGATGACACGGCACTCATACTTAAGGACTTTCATTTGCAATATCCACTGTCCCTCTGTGGACCTCATAACACTATTATTGTATGAAACACACTGAGGTTGTGTTTATTGATCCCAGGAATTGGTCTAAAGGGCCACATACTATCTGGATTGCATATAGTACCTTATTCACCGCTACTTGGTTATACGTATATACATGCAGACTACACTCACTCACATGGGAATCAGGTTTATTTTCACCAAGTGACCTTTCCCTAGTTGGGCCTCTGTTTCCATGACAGTAGAGACTACACCTGCTCATTTTGATTATTGGTCTTCTAGCACTGTTACTGCACTTCTCTCATCATATATTATTATTATTATACAGTATTTATATAGCGCCAAAGGGTATGCTCAGTGCTCTACAGTAGCAAGGGGGACAGAACATGAGACAAGACAGTAACAATACACTACACGAGGGGTTCGAGGGCCCTGCTCTTTCGAGCTTACAATCTAGGATGTATCCTCATTTCGTTGGTGCACCCCGATGGGTGTGCTGCAATGAGAAAAAGACCCTTGAGTCGTTGCTTCTACAGCATATTACTGTATATGGCCTAGCCATGATGTCTCTCTTGTTTATTTTTTGGTTTTCGTACTGTCTATCATTGAGGTGATGGCTACCTTGCAGTCTTTGCTCAATTGTCTCATATTGCTATTTTGTTAATAAAAAAGCATTATTTGCTTATATTTCTGAGTATAACATTGTCCTTATGTAACCGCTTTTCTTTTGTGAATCATCTGTTCACAGTTTTTTCTGTAGTATTCAAACCCCCCACTACTCTATCCAGAAAGTAGAACTGCTTTAGCTTTAGATACACTTCAAGCAGAGTGTAAACAAGTTCAGGGTTATATGCTTGATACAATTATGGTAACTTAGCAGCAGAACCACAGTGTGTGTTATTGGATCGTACTCAGGCATTTGAAAGTAGCAGATGTACAGTAAGACCTCAGGAGTCTTCTCACCACTGACACTTAACTACAAGAGTCATCTCAGAAAAAAAATGAAATAAATAAGGGGAAAATATACATTTTTCATGGCTCAGGTTTTGGAATTATAATAAATTAAGACTAAAGTTTCATATTAATGCATAAGCCCAATACTGGTCGGTTCTTTTTAAAGGGATCACTCTAGCTTCTAGAATCTTCCTACTGGACTCTGAACAGATAGAAAAAAACTGTTTCAGTGGATTGGTCCTTTAAATATATTTGTTAAGATAAATGCTTTAGTTATAACATTACATTGCCCAGACTTTGCTATACCACTGCAAACACTGTATTTCCTGAGGGTGGTATATAGCCTTTTCAGCTAAAAAATTTGAAACATCTTTCTGCCAAGCTTAACCTCATGAGGCATTGGAGATGGATATACCCAATCTGTCTGATATATCTAGAGATCTGAACCACAATTGTTCACTTGAAAACCTATTTGTTTTGAAAAACAATGACTAAATGTAATTCTTCCTGGCAAGCTTGGACCTCTCATTGGCTATACAAAGGTTGCATATTGGCATTGTGCCTTAACCACTTCAAGTTCGGACGCTTTTAAAAATAAATAACCCAAATTAGTTTGTAACCAAAAATTATAATTTTTTAAAATTTTGTTTTACATTTTTATTTTTTTTATATTATTATTTATGTTTTTTTTTTTTTTTTTTTTAACACACTGTCACCCTAGCAGTACAGTGTCACCATAGTGACACTCTACTACTTGTGGGGGGTGATGAAGATTTTTTTTTTTTTACATTGCTTTTACACCCATAAAGGCTGAAAAGCAATAATTTCTCCTTCTCTCTGGCTGCATTCTTGCAGCCATTGAGAAATACTGTGCGAGCTGTGATTGGTCACAGCTTGTCACATGGTACAAGGCTGTTGTGATCATTCACAGATTTCACACATAGTAAGCAATGATGTCAGGTCCCGTACAGCGAGCAGTGGCAATCACGGTGCTACGGGCTCCCAGGGGACGTTTATAAATGGCCACCCGCCCCTGCACTGCTCCCATCCGGCTGTTTATATACATTGGCCAGACTGGAAGTGGTTAAAGAGGAGCCACAGTCTCCCCCCCAAAAAAAATTAAAAATCAGCAGGTACAAATACTGTAGGTGCTGACTTTTAATATAAAGACACTTACCTGTCCAGGGATCCAGTGTTGTTCTCACCCGAACTGATTCTTCAGTTGGTTTTGGGCTCAGGCACCAACATCTTAAGTAAGAGAAACCGGCAGTAAAGTCTTCCGGCTTCACAGCTGGTTTCCTACTGAGCATGTGCACGCCACAGTTTATGAATGGTCTCTTCTGGGATCTGTGTGTGTCCCATAAGGCAACATGGGGAAGGAAGAGGGGCCGAACTTCCTCACAGATCGTGGCAGTGTTCTGACCCGAAAGTAGGAGCAGGAACTTGTCAAAACCAGGTACCCGCTGCCTTCTCCCCCCAAAAACATGCCCAATGTGGAAATGCGGGGGGGGGGGGGGGGGGGGGATGCAAACAATTGCAACTTCCCCTTTAGGGTGAAATTCCGATTTAATTTTGTTAGTCTCACCTCTAGCCCTCACTGTTACACATTGATTCTCTACAGACATAACAGATTTACTCACTTTACCCTAATCCTTCAACTGGTACCAGAAACTGGTTGGTTCTTTTGTATCCCTGTTAAACTTATAGTCCAGATTTTTAGTATATGTTTTCTAAACCTTCGTGTTTCAATGCATCTGCAACTGCGTGTTTTCAATCCAGCATGTTAACTGATTGAATGCTCTGTGCCTTCAATTATAAGACTTGAGATGTTTTTTCTCATTTGTTTGTTCTCTTCTGTACATTTTCCCCTTATGCACAACTACTTTAAACTTCAATAAAAAATATATTGGAAAAAAATATGAAACATCAAATTATGTTTTCAAAATCATTACATTCTACCAATGGACTTAAACCCCATTAAAGATTTGCCGTCCAGAATATTTCAACTCTTGTTTAGTATGTTGTATATTTTCTGCATCTATCAAGAAAAGTCAATTGTATCATTTGCTCTGATGACACCACAAAGAAAGGTTTCCATTGATTTTTTTTTCAAGGATGAATTCAATATATGGCTTGTTTATGCAAAGTTATGCTTGGCTTAAGACACATAAGAACCCGAGAATAAATCTTTCTAGAATCTGGACCCCTTTGAAGCTTGTTCTTGCAGAAACAAAGAAAAAAAATTGCTATGATAGTCTGTGCTCCACTTACTGTCCTGACAGTGGCGTTATAAGTAGCTTCATATGCATTCCATTACAGTTTCATTCAGCATTGCTATTAAGAAGTAATAACTAACATTAGATAAATCCTTCACTGAATTTGCACTTGGCAGGAGAAACACTTATCCTTGTCATGTACTTCAGACCAATTAAACATGCAGATCGATACTTTAAGGCTAATATATGACAATAATTAGGAGTGCTGGAATGCTGAGAACAGAATAGACAGACAGTAACTCAAACTCTTTGCATAGTATGAAACAAGAAAAATATTCGAAATATGTAAAATGAGATTACTAGGTCGGCAAAACTGGTGACAATAACAGATGTCACAATTGCATTTGAACATTTTGAGCCCAAAACTTTTTTCCCCTATACAGTATATCTCCCATGTTTCAGCACAATTATTATTATTATTATACAGTATTTATATAGCGCCAAAGGGTATGCTCAGCGCTGTACAGTAGCAGGGGGGACAGAACATGAGACAAGACAGTAACAATACACTACACGAGGGGTTCGAGGGCCCTGCTCTTTCGAGCTTACAATCTAGGAGGGAGGGGAAGGTGGTACAGGAAGAAATGGCTGTGGGGGATGGAATGGTGGGAGGAGTGGAGGAGGTTAGTTGTTAGGTGAGGTCAGGTGTTAGGTGAGGTTGGGGTAGGCTTCTCTGAAGAGGAGGGTTTTCAGGGTGTGCCTGAAGGTGAGGAGGGTAGGTGACAGTCTGATGGATTGGGGTAGGGAGTTCCAGAGGATGGGGGAAGTCCTAGAGAAGTCCTGCAATCGGGCGTGGGAGGAGGAGACCAGGGAGCTAGGGAACAATGCACCTGTTCTTCAGTGTAACACTGCACCACAATGCACAAAGTGTGTATCTGTGTAGCATGGTGAAACTGCTGCATGGATGTTTTTTTCCTGCATTGAGGCCAACTTAAAATGAATAGGCTGCCTTAAAATAGAAAGGTTCATGAGTGCACAGTGGGGCATACATTACTTTAATTCCCTATGGTGTGAAAAGGCCCCTGTGACTGGGTTCAAATCTATGCACACGAGACTTGTAGTGCATTGCTATATATTCGGAGTGGCACCCCAATGCACATATACAGTGTAAACAAAAGCTGCTGCTTTTTCAGCTCCTTAAAATGCACAAATGTGAATACACTTTGGTTGTTCGTTCATGCTCAAAGGAAGAGCATGTACATGTTTCATGTGGCAAGGTTCATTAAGGGCCCAAAGCTTAGCCCAATGCAGACCAACACAAAAAGCACAATAATGCACATGCACTAAGGCACGTGCTTTACAGCATTCTTAGATTAGTTCTAAGTTTTCCCTAAAGTATCATACATCCTTTTTTGGTTGAAATAGGCAACAATTAGAAAAAATGCAATTTCTTGGCACCTTGACCCAAACTTAATGGCAACAAAGCTTATTTTATAGTTGGAGGATATACTGATTCATTGATACTCCTTGTGCTCATGAGTTCTTAATATAATAGACTCAGTTATAGCTAAGCCATTGTTTCTAATTATTTGTACACAATCCTTAACGGTTGGCTAGGTACTAATGGATAGTATAAAACTAATGTAGTAGTTATATCTAAAAAAAAAAAAAAGATCAAGGTCTAAACCAACAAACTATTGACCTGAAAGTTTATCTTTATTGTAGGGAAGCTATCTGAGGGATAAGGAACCAAAGAACATAAAATAAAGCGAGAGCCACACTTAGATTTATTGTAGACAGATGTAATAAAATAAAGGCTGAGGACAATATTTCACTGTTTCATATGTTCTACATTAACTTGACTTTGATAGTGTTCAGAATTAATTAGACAAAATAAATGTGCATAATGCACCTGGGGAGGATGGCTTACACCCATGAATTCTCAATTAGATATGCTGAGGTTTTTCTAAGCCATTGTTTCTAATTATTTTTAACATACAGTAATCTTTAATGGTTGGATAGGCACCAATGATTGGTTTGTAAAAGTATTGTAGTAGTTATATTAAAAAAAATGAAGGTCTTCACCAACCAAAACATGTACATGTATTTTAGGGATTTACCTAGAGGGTGATAAGGGGTTGATATTATTATTATACAATATTTAATAAATAATAATAATAAATAACCATATACACAAATATATGATAGAATATGCTATAAGGGAGGCAGCTTTGATTTATGAAAGAAAGATGTAATAAAATAAATCTGGTACGTATGCAGACATTTGTAAAGTGGAATAGCTTTGGTCAGAGCATATCTGTACTTTTTAAGTTAGCATTTGTTTTGGTGTCAAACAATAGCAAGGTCCAAAAATATAACCTTTTCTCCTATGTCCAAGTTTCTGTGTAATTCTTAGATTTGTTTGAAGACATCTGTATGTGTAAATTAGAGTCTGCCATTTAAAAAAAATCAATATGCAATTGGCTTTACTTGTTAATAAACTATATAGAATTTTGAATTATAGTATGGTTTCCATGTTGCAGATTTTATAAAAGCTTGTAGTGGAATACATAACACTCTTATATTAAGGGATTATGTGAGGACAGAAATCTAGAAAAGGACATTGTTACATTTTAAAGGTGCAAGCTTTGGGCTGTCATGCTCATTCTTGCTTCGCTACCTTGTGAGTCACTGATTTACAACAATTATGCAGGTTGAGAATTCAGACATTTCAGCCCTTACTGACTGCATGATTGTTCCAACACCTTTGAAAAAACAATCCAGCAGTGGTTGCTCCCATATTTCTTTGCAGGTTCCATTAATGCCCCATGTGTGTATGTGTGTGTATGTGTATATCTCATATGATCACATTGTACCTTAGTAATTTCCCTGTGGGATTAATAAAGTTTTCTGAATCTGAATCACATTCAACACCATCTGTCAATTTGTGTTCATAGCAGAGATATAACTATAGCTGAGTATAGCACATAATGAAATCTCAGCTCCTCCCTCTCTCTACATAGCATGCCAATATCCATTACAGTAAAGCTTTACAGGTAGTGAAGTTGTATTTACATCTCCACCTATATTTCTGAGTGACAGCCACCCACCAAAATGCCTTTGGCCTCACTCTCAATGCCACATCCTATTGCAGATGGGCACCACTTGCCCCAATCATTTAAAATGTTTAATCTGTACTCCTCTGGATGGGTGGGGGCTGCCCAGCGGAATGAGCAGAGTGAGCGGTCCTCATGCTTAGTAGATGATGAGCAAGGCCACTAAATGAACATTTTGGGAGTAGGGATAAAGGCAAATATTTAGGTAGGTGGCTGCTGCTCAGGGAGTTGTGGAAGAGGGATACTTAAAAGACAGCTTCACAAAAAGTAAAACATTTCCTTTAACCGCTTTACCGCTGCCCTATAGTAGAACTACTGCTACATGGCGGCAGGGCTGCATAAAATCATGTATATATATATATATATATATATATATATATATATATGATGTTTGCATCTCCATGTAGGGAGCGTGTGTGCTGCCATACCCACACGCCGCCATTGGGCTAGGGATGTTAATCACCTGGAGATTCCTGGAGGGCACCCGGCGACTGTCGGGGAAAGCTGACATGGGAGAGCCCAGTGTGTAAACAACACAGGTCACTCTCCTGCCAGCAAGGACATGCTGCTTTGTATTTCTCTGCACAGCAGGGAAATACAAAGCAGCATGTCTCCCTTGTAAAACACACACAGTTAACCTTTTGATGTTAACCCCTTCCTGCCCAGTGTCCTTAGTACAGTGTCAGTGCTTTTTATTAGCACTGATCGCTGTATTGGTGTCATTGGGATGTCAGTGGCTGTTAGTCAATTCCCACTCAGTGTCAGAATGGCCGCTGCAGTCCTGCTATAAGTCACTGATCGCCACCGTTACTAGTATAAAAAAAAAAATTCAAATAAAAATTCCAGTATATATACTGCCATTTGTAGATGCTATAACTTTCACATAAACCAATTAATTTACATGTATTGTTTTTTTTTTTGTTTATTTAGCAAAGACATATAGAAGAATACATTTTGGCCTAAATTTATGAAGACATTTGATTTTTAAAATTTTTTACTGGATATGTTTTATAGCAAAAAGACAAAAATATAGTCTTTTTTTTCGAAACTGTCAGTCTTTTTTTGTTTATAGCACAAATAATAAAAAACACAGAGGTGATCAAATAGCACTACATACCACTACATCAATTTCATTTATGTACAGCGTTGCATGACCGCGCAATTGTCAGTTAAAGTAATGCAGCGCCATATCACAAAAAATGGCCTGATCAGGAAGGGGGGTAAATCCTTTGGAGGGCAAGTGGTTAAACAGGATCAGATTTCTTTTTTGTATGCCTCGGGCAGCTAAGTAAAAGAAGGCACCCATAAAAGTACACAAATGTTTTCTCCTTTGGCTGACTCTGGAAACTTGTGAACAAAACCATCACGAGAACACAATTGCAGAGACAGCAGGGGCTGTTGGGGGCACTTTCTGTAATAATGTAACATCTAATTCCATTGCATTGCCACAGAAATGTGTGCATATGTAATAAATACATCATAATACTTACATAATACCTACAGTATTTTTTTCTAATGCCATCAAATAAATAATAAATGGCTTTGAGTGCAGAGACAGGTCATTCATACAGTAGATTGGATTTATTGTGATGATTTAAAAACTAATATTTTCATTGTTTTCTCTTTCATAGACAGAACTGTCTGAGATACAGGATCAGTACCACATGCAGTTGCTTGAAGTAGATGATGAAGTGGAGAGATGGCAGAAGGAGAAAGATCGCATTAGGGTAAGAAATTCACAATCTTCAATATTACTACTGGAAAAAAAATATTTGGGGTTGATTTACTAAGAGTAGAGCATGTTCATTTTGCAAGGAATTTTCACTTAGCTTAGTCAAAGTGGTGGAAAGCGTACCCAATCACATGCAAAGAAAAGTAAAATAAAAAATGATTTTGCTTACAGGTGATTGGATGATGCAAGTCAGCAGGGCTTCACCTACTTCAGTAAGCTAAGAAAAAATTATCTTGAAAACTGAAAGTCTATTTAGTTTTAGTAAATCAGCCCCTGTGTTTTAGGGAATACTGTATATTTTGCAAGTTTACCTTAGTATTAGTATGGTTTCTCTGTTAGGGCCAATTCACACTATGTGCAGTGACAGATGTTTTACCGCGTGGTAAAATGTCTTTTACCGCAGGGACACACAGGAAACAATTGTTTCCTATGTGTCCCATTCACACTGCAACAAAGCCTAGCATTGCACTGCAGTGTGCCACAATAAAATGCAGACATGCTGCATTGTATCATAGAGTACCAGCCCTTATCTCACTGCAATGTCAGGCAGTGGAGTGCAGTGTGATGAAGTGTATGTTTTGTACACTTCAAATAATGCTCATAGAAAAAAGAGAGAGCAGTGTGTGATGCGCTGAATTGCGCTGAATTGCGGACAACACTACCCCCTTCCAACCGGCATCGGAGAGTGCTGAATTGCTCCAGCTGCTCTGCGATTTAGGGAGGTTCCTATGGATTGTCAGGTCACCGCTGTTTGTTGAGAGAATCATATTACCAGTGCTGGGACAAGGTCATCCAGCTCCCAGGGCAAAGATGCCAAACTGCGTCCATGATGTGCAAGCTTAGGGGATCCTACGCCCAGCAGGTACTCGCTTGTCAAAATCACTGCCACAGTCCTGTCGGCCTTGTAACAGAAGGTAGGCACCCCATCCTTACAGTAAACCATTGCACCCGGGGCAGCCGCCCCTTCGGCCCACCCCTTGTCTCGGCCCTGCATATTACTATGTCACTATAAATACAAACATAAATTCTGTTTTAACTAAAATGTGAAAGGTTGCTATTAGTTACCATGCCTTAGACATCACCTTTGTACTTTACTATCCTATGTTAAATAACCCTAGGTTCACACTATGACAGGTTCCCAGCACCCACATTTTCATTTGAATGGACTGCTGAACTAAGGAAAATGCAGGGAAAAGATCCCTGCACCCTTTCCAAAATGTAAGTACAGGGAAACCACATGGTGCAATGCAGTCCCCAGCAAAGAAAAAAGCGCTGTGGTTTCCAGTGCTTGGATATGCTACTATGAATTAATGGCACCCCCTGACTTTGCTAACAGCAGGGAGGTTTTGATGCGGGTTTGGGAAATCGTGTGATTACACGCAGTCCTGTCATTGCATATTGTGTGAACCGAGGGTAAGACTGTGTATCAGAAAAAAAGAAGAAAAAAACGTAAAAAAATATTGTGATATATCTGTTTGTCACGTGTAATGATGGGACCAGGATAACTGTAAAATATATTTTATAGAATTTTACAGCCAACCAGAAATCGGGTGTGGACCACAGCTTCAAAGATCTCATAAAAGAACTGCAGAGACAGCAAGAGGAGGTGAAAGCCAGTTTAGAGCAGAAAGAACGTGCAGCTGTTGACCTCATTGAGCAAATTGTAAATGACTTAAAAGTGAAAAAAGAGCAACTTCAAGACAAGCAACATGATGGAGATAAACTGTTACATACTACAGATGCAGTGCTCTTCTTACAGGTAAGTTTATTTTTGCAATGTTACAAACATAGTTAACCACTTCCCATCTGGCCGTTGTATATAAACAGCTGGATGGTGGCAGTGCAGGGGCGAGTTGCCGTTCATAAACGGCGCCCACCATTTTGGACTGTGTGTGCTCCCTGTAATGTAAAAAAAAATTTTTTTTTAAATTATAATTTTTCGTTATAAACTAATTTGGCTTATTTTATTTTACTATAAAGATAACTGAATACATTTAGCCAAGATTTATGATGAAAGATTATTTATTTGCAAAAGTTTATAAGAAAAAACACATTTTTTCTAAATTTTTGGACTTTTTCATTTATATAGCAAACAAAATAAAAATCCCAGTGGTGAATAAATACCAACAAAATAAAGTTTTATCTGTCTGAAAAAAAAATCTGCTAAAAAATTCATATTGGTACAGTGTTGCATGACCGCACAATTGTCATTCAAAGTGTGATAGCGCTGAAAGCTGAAAATTGGCCTGGACAGGAAGGGGGTAAAAGCGTCTGGACTTGAAGTGGTTAAGGTAAATGCTTCCCGGAGCATGAACACATAGTAGTCCCTTTATTACCATTGCTGTTATTGTTATGTAAATTTCGACTTTTTGTTAAAGTCAGCAGCCTAGCTATCATCTGCTACTCTAACAAATTCTTCCCGCCACTGAGAGCAGGGATACATGGCTATCACAACAAGGGCATGGGTGTCTTTGATGTACAAGGCTCTGATACAATCTAGCTTCACTTTTACTGTGCTGGATAAGAGGCAATGTGGCTGCATTCAATAGGGGAATAAATAGGTCACTGGGGACAGACTGGGGCAGAGTTTTTATGTTGACTGATTATGTGTCAGTGAGTTGTTTATAAGCAGAGTAATTCATACTTGGCAGTGATTCCTGTAAACATTGGCAAAGGAAAGGGTTGCTTTAATATAGATGAAAAAGGACTTGTGCCTATCACATTCAACCTTGCACCACTCCTTCAGCTTTGTTCTAAAAGCAAGCAATACAAAAGCCTATGGACATATGTTGCCAAACAGAAATAAAAATCATTTCCTTCTGACACCCCCTTTCCCAAAGGCAAGTTGGTTAAATTTTCTGGATTAGCTTTTAGTAATTGGATGATATGTAATACAAGAAAATCATGTATTGCTTTTCTAAATTATAGCATTTTTTTGCCATGTGGTAAAGCTTTCCACATCTCAACTACCAGAGTAACAGATTCTTTCTAAAGCAGGTGATAACATTTCCTTTACAACATTTGCAATTGATGTTCCTTTGTCCTCATGATATGACATTGCGTTTAATCATACCTAAATACAAAAACATTAAATGGTAACTGATTCCCCTTATTGTCTTTCTTAAGTGTTTTTCTTTTTCATTAAAGAAAGGGTTACTTTTCTTTAATTTTGTACCTGGTGATCCTGGAACATCCTTTCACACATGTTTAAGTCTATGCATGAACATTGTCCTCCAAGTATTGACATTCTATGCATTCATGCAGAGTACAAGTTGATGTAGGTATAGCATGCCTACATGTTAACCATGTTCCTTGTAGTGGGACCCACAGCTTCATTCACCCATTCAAATGAAAAGCATTCTACTAGGATATGCTGCCACACCACTGTTTGGAGACATGCATCTTCTGCTATTACATGGCAAAGGTGGGGGTGCACAAACCAAGAGCTGGCAGAAAGCTCTGCATGATGCACTGATCTACAAACTACTAATGATTTAACAAGTAATAAAAAGGAGGGGGATCAAGTAATATTTAGGTTGAATTTGCTAACAGTGAGGTTTTTCATAAAGGTTTAATTGCAGCTTCATTTGCCAACCCTTTATACAAGTATTTGACTTATTAAAACATGTTTATAAATTCACTGCTATATTTCTTGGAAATAAGATTTTCAAGTTCTTCAATATAACAAATGCCTGGCTTAGAAACACCTTCAGAATGCCTATATCCTTTTCTACAGTGTAGCACTTATACTTGCAGGAGACGCTGGTGATGGTGGGACCTCTGCTTGATTCCCCCTGACATACTTGGTCGTAGACTAAAAGCCATTTACATCTGTGGGACTTAGGAGTTAGTAAGCTACCCCTCTCTAAACCTCTCTAACAATACACAGGAATTAGGCCACAAGCAACTTGGTGGTAAATTAATTAAATGTATTATGGCAAATGCAATTAAGCAAGCATTAATCAATAAACAGATAATTACACAGACTAACTGGCACACAAAACACTATAGCAAAATTGAATTGAATTATAACAGGTGTAACTAGAGTCTCTGTAATGTCATCAACTAATTCAGAAGGTTAATAGGGTCCATGGGTGCACACTATGCATATAACACCAGTAGCTGGTGAGAACATGTGTTTCTAGTATATGAAGGTGACTGAAAGTACCTGGCGCCTAATAGTTCTGATGGGGCCCTTTTGTGGGTGATGCACTGTCCTTTTAAGAGTGTTGGTGGTGAATGTAAATGAGCAGCTGGGTAAAAGCAGTCTCTATGGCATTAACTGTATGTGTCGACCGTTTAGGATGTGTAGTTCAGCTCACCACTCCCGGCGGCTACTAGTCTGTTCCCAATGTCTTGGTTTTCAGCAGGTTCCAGAAGGCAGGTCCCAGAGGCTCAGTCTATCAGCCTGGATCCTCACACAGAGTGCAGTCTCTCAGCTTTAGTCCTGGAAATGCAGCGACTCGCTCTCTCAAGCTCACTCCCTATGGCAGCGAGGCAGACTCAGCAGCACGGTCATTCTTTCTCTCTAATGTGGCTGAACAGGCACAGAAGCAGGTCCACTCAGCTCCTCTCCTTGTCTCCAGTCCCTTGAATGTAGAGCACAGACCCTGACTCTCCTCTTTAGACTGGCCCTAATCTTGATAAATTTAGCCATTAGCCTCCATAGACGTGTATGGTTCAGAGCTCCTTTAAAGACTCTCCCAGGATCCTGTACAGCAAGTCCTCTTTGAGCTTCCTATTGGCTCTTTTTCTCTGCCCTCTGATTGAATCAAATTCTGCCGCTGTGGGGAAGAGGGCACAGATCCCATCAGGGGGGTGAGCGGGGCATCAAACCCACACACAGAGCTTCACCATTTACTTCTCCCTGATTACATTTGCAGAGAGAGAGAGAGAGAGAGAGAGTCAAATCAGCCCTGTTCTCTGACACGCTCCCTTAAATGCAGACCCTATGAACTTTTCTGCTCAGAGAGCAAGAATGATGTTGAGTAGACCAGCGCTTAGGGGACCACAAGAGAGCTTGTGTTTAAGAGGTGAGGCTCAACTCTTCTATGTGCTGGCAACACAAGGTTTTTTTTTAACCCTTGCTGTAGCATTTAGTTGGAAAAAAGAGGTATATTCACATTTGATTGCCACTTGGAGGGGCAATAGAGTTTACAGTGTCTGAAGTGAAAGCAAATATATTGTTAGAAATTATTAGAAATGAAAAAGCTAAAAGTACAGTATATGTATTGTATATAAAAATGCAGCCAGTAAAACATTAACAGGGTTGAAATGGACTATAAAGCTGACAATAATGACAAACTAAACAGTAACCAAGGCTAGGAGAATGCAGATACTTGAGGTAATACAGTCTCAGAAGACTCCTCAGAAGATGATAATCTCCTAAAAAAAATCTGAAAGTCAGTTGCATCTCCTGGAAAACAACTACGCAAAGCCACTATATCTCTTAAGAATTCCATGGAACCTGGTCTACATGTATGTCACCCGAACCTAGGCATGCTAGAGGGCAGCCAGTGTTTGGACAGATGAGGTAGTGTCTAGGCACACTAAGGTAAAATAAGCATCTAGGCATAGTTGGAGAGCAGTCAGTGTCTAGGCATGCCTCAACAGAGGCAACATTTGCTCATCTTTGGACAAGAATGCCACTTAAATGGGCCATAGGGTTTACAGTGGCCAAATAAAAAGCAGAAATATTGTTATTAGAAGTAAGTGCCTGGATTATTCTTTCAGTACCATTCCAGGAGGATAGTTAGATACATGACAGTAAATGGAGAATGAAGAGACACCTAGAAGACAGGGAAGCAAATATATGAAGCTGTGATACCAGTTGGCATTGAAAGCTGTGCTGCATAGGGGAGGACCTAAGGGTGCCTGATTTTCATCAGCACCTCTAGTGGAGAGAATGAAATTGAGTTTCCTGGCACTGCTATAATGAAACTCGTGGGTTATTTTTATTGACAACAATAAACATCAGGCAGTAACCAAGGGAAACAAAATGCAAAGAATGACAGAAAAGACAGAATTGAAACTAAAATCCACAAATTGTGAATGCATTGAGAAGTGAACAGATTGAACTATATAGGCATTATACTGGGGGAAAGTAGCAAGGCAATTAGACTTAACAGAATGAACACATGACAGAGACTAAGCTCAAGGAAGACAGGAGTGCAAGGTGACCCAGCACAGGATACAAGACAAAAGATTGAAGGCAAAATAATAGCAAGATGGAAGTGTAGGGTAAAAGGTAGCAAGATACAAGGTAACCATAGTAAGATAGGTGGGGGCAGGAAGAGCATGTCTAGAGATGGGAGAAATATAAACAATGTGAAGCCAAGGTAAGAGTGCACCTCAAGGAAAGAGAACCATGGCACAGTAATCTGTCACAGGTGTTATTCATTAGATCAGTTTTGTATATACCTCCTCACAAATATGTCCTTTAAAATTTATGTTCCTTATGAATATTTTTGCAGGAATTCCAAATGGTAATAAGAAATGCTCCTCCAATACCCCCACTACCTACTTATGCAGTGACTCTGGAAGGAGAAAGGCTGACTCAAGCTATGGGAGCAATGAAAGAAGAACTGTTGGGAGTCTGCAAGAAGAATGTGGAGAAATACTGTAAACTTGAGGCTAATAAAAATCTTGTTGAAAAGAATGGTAAGTAATTCTCTGCTTCCAATCAATTTTACAAATTCATTTACCACTTCTAGTCAGTAGATACTGAATTCGAATAACTTGGCCCCCACCTATGCTAAGTAATTTTTCTACTTTGTTGTGAATGAGTTGTTGTTTTATCCATTCAAAATGGATAAACCCCCCTCCCTCCCAAACCCATATAGTACGCATGAAGTTTCAGATAATCTGGCCATAAATGGAACAAAATATGGCTGGTTCAGCTGGAACCATTTATGGCCAGGAGGTTGTACATAAGTCAATCTACCAGTCATCTTCGGTACAACTGCCCTGTCATATTTTCATATGGGGGAAATGAAAGACTCATCTATGGGCTGCCTTAGAGTGTCACAAAAGAAGTTACCAATGCTGGGCTTTCTTAGTAGTTAGTTCATTGTTTTCTGAACTGTATAATGCAACCAGGCAATATTCGGTATGTAATAAAAATACATATTTTATACATATATTAAATATAAATACAATGACCAATCTGTAAACTTGTTAAAACATATTTGCATTTTGCCTGAGGTTACAAGTAGCATGCAGTTAAACTGTATATAAAGTAATTTTTTTTAAAATATTGGATACATAAGTATCCAAACAAGGACACCAGTCATAAGTGGTATAGATGAGCTGCCATTTCTGACCTTAACATAAATTGCTAGTCTCTTGGATTTGATGATGGCCCTGGATTCACTGCTTTAAGAGTTCTGTCTTACTCTGGCTTGGCAACTGGCATATTCAAAATAATGTAAGTCCATGTATTATACAGATGATAGTACGCTAAATGAGAATATCTGAACATATATCAGTGTAAAAAGTATTTAAGCAGTTTGATACCTTTCTTGCCATGCCATCGAAAAACACAGATTTGCATACAGCCACAGAATACTGGCCAGGTGCCAAGATAAAATATTCTTATATTTTAAGAGCTGCCTTTTTACCTATAAATAAATCCACTCTGCCAATTCGAAAATATTCCATTATTCAGCGTTGTACGGATATTTCCTGTTACCAGTCATCATATTAATTTTCCTTTCTTTTAGTTTTCAGGATGTAGCACAGACTTAGGTGCTACACAGAGGAGCTTAATTGCTTTTCTAAATGTGTGTTGATTTCTGTGGTTTTGTGCAATTCATTTTTTATTAACTGATCTACCTTCCAACCCCAGGCGCAATATGAATAAAAGAACTGTGCTGAAGTTCCTATAATCTTTAGAAAGCCATTATCACTATATCTAACATTTAAATGGATTGGGGATTTGGGATAAAATGCACTTTGTGGTATTACAGCTCATTTATACCATAAATTGTAAAGTGCTGTTCTTGGATTTAGCATATAGTATACAAAGGGTACGGTAACATATATTGGGCAAATGTCTTAAATATTCATATAGGTCATACAATTAAGGTATTACAGATAACCTATAGTCAAATCTTTAATTGCCATCCTAATCCTCCACTTACTCCTCCAGAGGAAAGCTTCTCTTGTAACTTGCCTAACTCCTATAGGGAACATTTTCTGTGAACTCCAAGTAAAGTGGGGAGTTGTCTACAGGACACTCTATATCATGTAGGCACGCCCTGTAGAATTGGTGGAAGAGGGAGGCACAAGAACAGTTGGCAGACAGCACCTTGAAGATAAAACCCTATAATAAAGTTGTGGCACTTGCTTCATTTTTTAAACATGTGTAGAGAACACCTTTAACTGAAACATGTAATGCTGTACAAATGTACACAGATAGTTACATCTGTACTGTTATCATATATCAGGATGCTCAACCTGTGGCATATGTTGTCTGCATAATTTATCTCAGGAAGAATTATAGCTATTGCGATTCGCCAACAGTAAGGGACATACCTTTGTAACAAGAATGCAGACTCTTGCTTTCACTATTCTAAAAAAAACTTAGCAGCAGATGTATCACATACTTTTGTATGGCCCTCAGAGCCCTCTGATATGGCCCTCGACCTCAAACTGAATGCAGGAATGCACCACACCCACAGCTTACAGTAGAAGTCTATGGCAAAGCTCAGCTAACCCCTCAGGAGTAAACCGCAGCGAACCAGTGTGAAAGCAGCCTTATAGGGAGCTCGGGACAGTAAGGGCACATTTACATTTGGGTTTGGGGGCTTTTAAACCCCATAGTTGACATGTCTTTACCACACCTGCCCAATCACTGGTGTAGCGACAGAGGTTGCAATGGTGACCAAGCGCCATGTTTCCAGGGGGCCTGTGCAGCCTCACTGTTACATACTGTTTTACACTTGGACAGGAGGGGTGGCGGGTGGCATATACAGGAACAGATTCTCTCCATTTTTTCCTCTTGCAACTGCTGAAAAGCTGGCTTCTCCTCCTCTTCCTTCTGCTGGCATTCATCAACTGCAGAAGGAAAATGTATATTATTCTATTCAAAACAAAAAATGTGAAATTCTCAACCATTTCATTTCATTATGGCCACGACTGATTACCAAATCACGTAAGTGGCCCTCGCTATTCAAAAGGTTGAGTGTCTCTGTTTTATATGGTTATATCTCTGTCTTTAAAGCAACACTTTTGCCAAGGAGTAAAGACCCAAGGCTGTGCTACGGGTCCCCCACAGTATGTAGCTTTCTAATCTGAATATTTAAAGATTTTTGTCAAATTAAAAGAGAGATTTATCTTATTGGTGGCTCAGCACTGACAATCAACAGTGTGTTCCTTATATCCAGATGCTTCTTCAAAGTGTTGTGAATTTTACATTGAAATTCTTTAATAAAAAAAATCTGTTGAAAGTGAAAAAAAAGAAGAAATGGGAGTGATGTAAGTGGTGAGCCTCTAGGGCTTTGTCCTACAAGCCTTGTCAGATCCTCACTCAGAGTACAGAGCCAGAACACAACAGAGTAGATTTGCTAAACGTAGCAAATTGAGTATTTAAACCAAACCTAGGAATAAGACTGTTGCTGTTAAGGTCTGGAGAGAAGAAAAAGCTTGCAAAGACAGAGGGATTGATTTACTGTAACTGCATGGTGCAAAATTCTGTGCAGCTCTGCATAGAAACCAATCAGCTTCCAGGTTTTTTTATCAAAGCTTAATTGAACAAGTTAGAAGCTGATTGGTTACCATGCACAGCTGCGCTAGATTTTGCACTCTCCGGTTTTAGTGAATCATCCCCAAAAGCTACATCGTGCATTGTGTAGGAAATATTTGCAAATTCCAGGTTTAACGGCAACTAGTTGAAAATAGTATAATATAAGTAGTAGGTAGGTTGATAATGATCTAGCAAATTGGCTAAATTGGGCAGCACAGTGGCTAAATGGTTAGCACTTCCGCCTGGCAGTACTAGGGTTGTTGGTTTGAATCACAACCACGGCACCAACTGCCTGCAGTTTGCATGTTCACCCTGTGCCTGCATGGGTTTCCTCCGGGTACTCTGGTTTCCTTCCACATTCCAAAGACATGCTGGTAGGTTAATTGGATCCTGTCTAAATTGGCCCTAGTATGTGTATGAATGTAAGTTAGGGACCTTAGAATGTACATCCCTTGAGGGTTAGGGACTGACGTGAATGTACAATGTATATGTAAAAGCTCTGAATACATTGACGGCGCTATATAAGTACCTGTAATAACAATAATAATATTGTGTGATATCTCTTAAAAATTAAATTTTTGAAAGCCTAATAAATCAGTATACTGGCTTAGCACTTTAAATAGCATGGGAGAAATAGAAATACTTTGTTATTTTCAACAGAGAACTAGAGATTGTGTTTCTGTTACAAAAGTATGTGATACATCTGCTGCTAAGTTGTTTTTAGAATAGTGAAAGCGAGAGAATGCATTCCTGTTACAAAGGTATTTCCCTTACTGTTGGTGAATCGCAATAGCTATTATTCTTCCTGAGATAAATTATGCAGACAACATATGCCTGCATTACATATGGCACCCCTGTATGTACCTTCTTCATTCATGTAAACTTGCAGTTAGCAGAGCTGACATTGAAAATTTATAAAGTGCTTTTCAGGTGTCATTAAATTATTGCCCTGAGTGCAGATGGTGCTTCTTTGCCTAAACAACTGTCTACGTTACACAAGCAGGAATTATATCACTTATTGATATCAAGCCTTGTATCAGCTCTCTTTCTATATATGTTCAGTTTTTTGACTGAACTGACAGGTTTGCTGCTACCAAACATTAATAAGAACATAATTTATACTGTCTACAAATCAATGGCAAGTAATACTTTATTAATTTATTACAGGTATTTACATAGCACCAAAAATGTATGCAGTGCTTTACATATATTGTACATAAACACCTTGGTACACTAAGCCTGGGTTCACATATGTGCAGTGCGGTATATTGCATGTGATTCGCACAGGAACCACACTGCATTCCTGTGCAAATCACATGCGATTTGTGTGCGGTGCGATTGGAGCTGTACATTTTGTATGGCTCTAATCGCACCGCATTCGCAGCAAAAAGCTGCAGAACCTTTTTTTGAGTCCGCACTAGAATCAGATCGCATGGGTATTCACGCCTATGTGATCCGATTCTGCACATCGCTTTCGGGGTGTTGTTAACTTAACATACACACCCACAGTGGTTCGCATGAACGGGTGCAATTTTGATGCGGTGCAGAATTCGCACAAAAAAACGCTGCAAAATCCGCATGGCATCAGTGTGAACCAGGGCTAACAGCTGTAGAATTTTTCTGATGGGAGTAGGCAACGAGAGGATGGATGGGCCCTGACATGTTTGCTATGAGCCAAAAATTTCCAGTTATACCACTGATCTTGCAAGATAAATAGTGTCATCATTATAGGTTAACTCTGAGCCTGGGTTCACACTGATGCGGTGCGGAATTCGCGTTTTCTGTGTGCAAATTCCGCACTGCATCACAATCGCACTCCGTTCATGCGAACCGCTGCGGGTGTGTACGTTAAGTTAACAACATTTCGAAATCAGTCTGCAAACCATGGTGCGATGTGCAGAATCAGATCGCATTG